GGGGGGAGGTCCCACCCCCACTCTCTCCTCCCCCGTCCCTTGCCTCTGCCTCAACTACCCTGCGTCGTCGCCTGGCACGATGGCCTTCCGCGCGGCGGGCTCCCCCACATCGGCCCCGCCCCGGCGACTGCTCCGCCTCGGCGGGGTGGATCTGCCCCTGGACACGGCGGCCTGGCCGGTGTGCCCGGGGGCCCGGTTCTTCGAGGGCGGCTACACCTCGCCGAGCCAGCTGCTCATCGCCCCTGGGCTCTTTGACGAGCTGGCCGCCGCGGCCGGGGCTCACCCCGGCGAGCACATCTTCCTGACTGCCAATGACCGGCTCTTCCGGGCGCGGTACGTGTGCCTCCTCCGCCGCTGCTGCCGTCCCTTTCCGGGGGCCGCTCACACTCGGGCGCGACCTGCTCTTTTTCTCTCTCTCCCCCCCCCCCCAGCCCGGATCCCCGGGCCGCCGACTTTTGCGTTCTCCCCGGCGACGAATTCTATCGGCTCTTTCCTTTCGGGAGGGCGGGCGTGCTGGAAGTGCAGCGGTTCCTGCCGCCGGCGCTGGAGGCGGCCTGCTTCGCCGTGCGCCCGGTGGGTGTGGCCGCCTCCGTGGATGATCGACCGCACCAGATCCCGTTCTCGGCGCTGGAGGCCGCGGCCAAGGCGGCTCTCGCCGGCCACGGGCTGCTGCTGCACGCGTCGGAGGTGCGACCAGGACGCCGGGTGTCTTTATCCTCTATGTTGCACATGTGTCTGACCATGTTCCCCGCCGGGTTGGCCGTTGGCAGGTTCTGCCACTGGCGCTGACCCTGCCGACCGAGGGGGCCCCCGCGCTGGAGCTGGCGGTGGTTGAGCTCCGTACGGACGCCGCCGTCGCCGGCGGCCGCGGGGGCGTCTCCCCATGCGGCCTGATCGGCCCGTCGACGCGGATCGTGCTGACCGCCGGGCCGAGCATGGACCTGCTGGACGCGCCGGTGGTCGTGGCCCTGGCACCACCGGGCGGCCCGACGGTCCTGGCCCCGGGCGCGTCGCCCCTCCCGGAGCAGCACCACATGGTCCATGCGATGTTCGCGCCGGGTCCCAACCTGGATGTGCTGCTCGCCCCGGCCGGCGGCCCGGTGGCCCGGCTGCTGGCGGCATGGCGCCCGGGCGCCCCGGACGGCCCCTTCTACGCGGCGCATGAGAAGCGCGTTTTCCAGATCCGGTGCGCTGTGAGCCCGCGCTTCGGGGGGGGCCGGTCTTCCGGATGCGGCCGTTCCCCCGGCATGGACTGACATCCTCTCATCAGTATTTGCCAGCGCAAGACCCCACCTGGGATATATCTGCGGGCGGACCGGCGCCTGCTCGCGTCGCTGGGGATGGAGCTGCACGGGCGCCCGGCCCGCTTGACCCTGTGCGACGCCCCGCCCGCCCTGGCCGTCGCGTGGGTCGACAGCCCCCAGGGGCTTCGTCCGCATGAGCGCCAGCGGATACTCAGCCAGCTGGCCGGCGCGCCGTTGCGCGTGGGCGACGTGCGTCCCGACAGCCCCACCGGCCTGCTCTCGTGCGATCCCGCCCTGACCCCCCGCCACGACAGATCGTCCACCTCGAGGAGCCGCATGCCTCGATCCGGGTGAAGCGGCTCATGGACCGGGACTTCCGCGATGTCCTCGTGGGGGTGGCATCTGCGGACGAACGCCGCCGGGTTGCCCCGCCGTCCGCCCCGGTGCCACTGCCGCCCGAGCCCCCGAAGCCGCGGCCCGTGTGCATCGCCCCGACGCCGGCTCATCTCCATGCCCGAAAGGCGCCAAGTGGCCGGCTGCCTGCGGAGGATGCCACGAGGCCAGGCCCGGGCGGGCGAGGCTGTGGCGAGTCTAGCCGCCACAGCAAGGCCCATCCGGGTGTCCCGGGCCGCCATGCGTCCGAGCTGAGTTGCCCCAGGCCGGCTCGACTGGGGACGCGCGGCCTCCCACCCGGCCCCGCTCAGCTCGGCAGCGCGGCTGCAGCCCGAATTGCCCCCACGCTCGAGAGCCATGGCGCTCCTGAGCGCACATCCATGCCCGCGGCGACCGTCCTCTATGTCCAGACGCCGCGCGGCCTGCCGGCCGACCAGAACCACCTGGTGGCCATCTGGCCGGATGCGGAGGACCCGGGCGTGGTCATGCTGGCCCCGGAGCCCCTGCCCCCGGGCACGCCCGGCACCGAGCGCACGGTCCTCGTGTCGCCGGCGGCCTTCCGGCGCATCGCCAGCCCGAGCGGCTGCCCGGTCGATGTCGTGCGCTTCACCAGCGGCGGGGCGCACCTCGACATCCGGTGCGTACTCCTCGCCCGTGGCCCTTCCAAAGAGACGCATGCGCGTGAACTGACCCCCCGCCCCAGTGCCAGCGACCGAGTGACGCGGTTCGGGGCCGCGATCCATCCCCGGGACCTGGACATGCTGGGCGGCTTCGGCCTGGAGCCGATGGTCCTGTCCCCGGCGCCGGACCTGCCGGTGGCCGAGTCCGTCGAGGTGTCCTTCGTCCGGGAGGGTGCCTCAGGCCAGCCGGTGGACATCCCGCTGGAGCGCCTGAAGCTGGACTTCCTGCAGGCGCACGGCGACGCCACCATGCGACTGGACCGGGTGCGTGTCCGGGCGGGCATGACCCGGGCCCCCGATCCGCCATGCGGCGCCCGCCTTCTGACATGTCGCCTGGCCCCTTTTCTTTTCTCTCGCAGCCGCTCTCCTTCAGCTCCCAAGGCGTCGACGTGTGCTGCATCGTCCGGCGGATATGCTGGCTCGGGGAGCCGGACGTGCCGCGGCCGGCTGGGCGCCTGCCGCCGGGCGGCGGCCGAGTCGAGGCGCTGACGGTCTCCACCGACGAGGCCCCCCTGGCTGCCGCGCTCGATCCCCCACCGCCGGCGGCCGCCAACTTGTCAGGGCCAGCGACCGCCGGCCGGGCAGACCCCTCGGCCCCTGGCGGCCACTGGCTGCTTGTCCAGCTCCCCGCGGTGGCGGGGGCCGAGGAGGACGGCGGCCATCTGTCCCTGGCGGCGGTCGCCAGCGAGCTGGCCAGTTTCCGGGCCGGCTGGGCGGCCGTCAGCCCGGGGGTCTATCGACGCCTGCGCCACCGGTTGCCGGACGGGACCGACGCCTTCCTCCAGTGGGGCGGGCACCTGCTGATGATCTAGTGCGTGGGGGTGCTGAATGTGTGCATGTGTGTGGCTTCCATGTGGCTTACCGTGTCTGACATGCGCCTCCCCGCCGCGGGTGCGGCCGCGCCCACGCCACCCCCAGCCCGGATCCGAACCCGAAGAGGCCGCTGTCGGACGAGCAGATCATCCTCAACCGGCGGGACTTCGAGCGGATATTCAGCCAGCAGACCTGCTTCTGGGCGGCGGCCACCGCCTCGCCGGCGCAGGTGGGCCTGATCGAGCTGGTCCTCTTCAAGAAGACGTCCTTCTCGCACTACGCCAAGCACGGGGACTTGGTGCGGGAGTTCCTGCAGAAGCTGGACGACTCCGTGCTGACCGTGGGACAGGTGCGTAAGGAGCGCGGGCCAGGAGAAGGGGGGGGGGGGGGGTCGAGCGGCCTCGGCCAGCGGGGAGCCCCGACTGACGCATGGAAGCCCGCCGCCACCCGGCCCGGGGCATGGTGTACCCGGCCCGCGGGGGTATGCCCCCTTGCAGGAGTTCGACATCTCGGTGACGGGCGTGCTGATGAGCATGCGCGTGGACCGGCTGATGAATGCCTACCTGCAGCCGCTGAAGTCCGGGCACCTGCTCACACGCGAGACCCCGGCCTTCACATTTGTCGATGCCGCCATCAAGGAGGGCTTCCGAATCATGGAACCGCCGCACACGGTGCTGCTGCAGCTGCCGCTGCTGGGCCGGGACCTGCGCCTGCCGGTGTCCACCAACATCAGCCCCAGCAAGGTGTCCCACAACTCGCTCATGGTGCCGGAAGAGACATTCATCTCGCTGGAGACCTACTTTCTGGAGCCCGGGCCGGAGATCCTGGTCAACGACAAGGGCAGCATTGTGTACGTCCCTCGGGGTGGGCCCCCGTGTGGCCGGGGTCCCGCTGCGTCGGGCCGCGAGCGCGTGCCTCCCTGGCGGGCAGCCTCCCCTCGCGTGCACCCCACCGCCCGGAGCCCGCCCTCCACCCCGCCCCCCGCCTGCTGCGCCCCGCCACCCAGCCGCACCTCCCTGTAACACGCCCCTCCCCGCGCGCCCGGACACGTCCGCTCCATCGGTCCCGAACCAGGCCCCAGAAGAACCCGAGACTGGACCTCCTGCCGAACCACGTGCTGGTGGGGATGAACTTCCTCCAGCGCTACATGACCGTCCTCCACCTGGCGCCGACCCAGACGCCGGTGCTCTCGACCCTCACATGCCACATCACCTCGGATGGGGAGTACCGGCTTCCGGACCTGGAGCCGGGGCTGCTCGAGCGCATGTTCTTCGCGAAGCTCCCCAAGGGAGGCGCCATCCCACTGATGCAGGTGCGCCCCGGGCGCCGTCGATGCTGCCCTTTGCCCCGGCCCCCTCCCTGGCCCCTGTCGGCGCCGCCCGGAAACATGCCCTAACCCGTGGGGATCCCCGTGGCCGATCGGCGCCCGGTGGCCCGCGGCCGCTGCCGGCCGGCTGACCGGGAAACCCCCTCCAATCGCCGCTGGCAGTTTGTCTCCTCGACGCTCGGGCCCTTCTTCATCAACTTCACGGCATCGCACATGACCGGCGGCAACCGGGAGCCGGTCAAGGCCGGTGTCGTGGTCCCCGGGGTGACGCGCATCCACTTCGACACCTCGGACTACGGGCTGACCCTGGTGCCGCGGCCCTTCGGCCTGGCCCTGTCCCGACGGTGCTCGACGATGGTGCTGGACACGGACTTCGTGCCGACGCCCAGCCCCCTGTACGCCGGGCTCATGCTCCCGCGCGACCTCTTCCAGTCGCTGCGCGAGACGTCCCGCTGCCAGCTCGAGGCCGAGTGCCTGTTCTTCGATTGCCGCGGCCGGCTGTTCGTTGCCCGGCTGGCCGATGCGCACGACACGCCGAGGGTCATCCGCGTGTGCGCGGACTTCGGCCAGTTCATCCGGGCCGAGGACACCCTCATGACCAGCCTGTACTTTTCGGAGGCGCCCACCCAGCTGGACGTGGTCCACATGCGGGTGAGCCTCGACCCGGCCGGAAGCGAGGCCGGCGCCGGCGAGGCCGACCCGCCCCCTGCAGCCGGGCCACCGGCCGCATCGCCGGCCGAGCCCGGTGCCCCGCCGGCAGGCACCCGCGCGCCGCCGGCCAGCGTGGCCCTGTCACAGCGCGACCTGCAGGCCGCCCTGGAGACCGCCTTCCCGGACGGCAGCATGGTCCTCTTGGAGCGGCGTGCCTTCGCGGCCCCCGGCGGGGCGCTGGTCTTCTCGCCGGAGCTCCTCTTCGACGAGTATAGCGCCCCGGTCGCCTGCGGGCTCTTCCGGCCGGGCCGCACGCGCTTCAACTTCCGCCTCAAGGGGGTGGCCCTGCCGCCGTAGCAGCGGGGCGGCCGCTGCCGGGCGCCGCCCGGGCTCGCGACAATACACATGCGCCTTGTGGATGGTGGGCCGGTGTCAGATGGTCCTTTTTTTTTCTTCCTGGGAAATAGCGCGTGCTGTCAGCAGGGCGGGGGCGGCTGCTCTCCTGGGAGGCGCAGGCGTGACCCCGTGTGCAGCGCACTGGGCTTCGGCCACCGGCATGGCCGATTTCCGGCGAGGCCCGCCCGGGGAAACTGTGCACGTCCAAGCACCCCCACGAAATCCCCCGACACACGGTGCCCAGTGCGCCGCATTCCCCCCGGCCCGGCTGGCCACCCACCGGGCTGGCAACTGGTCAACCGCCGGGAATGCGGCGCCCCATGGCCATGCCTCTGCGCGCGCGCGCCCTCGCCGGCCGCCACGCCCCCGGGACGCCTTTGGCCGGCCCGCTCCGCATGGGCAGCAGCAGGACACATGCACGCATGCACGCATGCACGCATGCACGCATGCACGCATGCACACGCTCATGCCCGCCGACAAGCCCCGGCACCCAGGCCCGGCCAGGGGGGCTCCTCCGCTGGTTGGCCGGCCAGCGGCCCGCGCCTCGGGCTGGGGCTGCGCCCCGGGCGGGGGCCCGGTGGCGGGGACAGGCGTGAACCATAACCGGTGGAGCTGCCGACATCCGCGGCCATTTATGCCCGCAGTCCCGCCTGCTTCCCATGGCCGCGTAGCTCAATTGGATAGAGCACCTGACTACGGATCAGGAGGTTGTGTGTTCGAGCCGCATCGTGGTCAATTCTTTTTGCCGCCCCCTCCAGCGCGGGAGGGAGAGGGGCGACTCGGCAGGCCCTTCTGTGTGTATGCCCACCCGCGGCACCACCAGGCAGGCACAGGGGGGGGTGGGGGGAGAAAAAAGCCCATCTGTGTGCACGCGCGGCCTGCTCTTTTGTCCCCTCGGCCCAGCAGCCCGGTCGGGCTGGGGCGGACCGTGGTCGCCACGGGAGCCCCACCGTGTGCACCCCCCCCCCCGGGCCCCGGGCCCCGGGCAAGCGGAGAGCCCCACGCCCCGCCCGGTGGGGGGAGCAATAAAACAATCTGCCCCTCCCCCGCCCGCCGCTCGGCAAGCCAAGGGCAGCCTCTCCGGGAAGCGACAGGGAAAGTGGCCTAACCAGGCCGCGCAAAAAGGCAAGCTGGCCCCAGCCAGGATCGAACTGACGACCTTCGCGTTATTAGCACGACGCTCTAACCAACTGAGCTATGGGGCCCGGCTATGATGCACCCAGCCTGGCCCGGCAATTTGATCGACCGCGCTCGGTCGCGGCGCACGCCCGGGCGCGTCCCAGGCAGGGCGCAAAAGAGGCCGCGCGGCCGGGCGGCAAAAGAAACCGGGGAAATCCGGGAATCGAACCCGGGACCTCTCGCACCCTAAGCGAGAATCATACCACTAGACTAATTTCCCACGCTTGCTGGGAGGGTCCCCGCCGCGGCTTTTGTTCGTTGCGCTCTTGCCGCGGCGGGTCGGCTTCAGCCTCGCCCCCCGGCCCATCGCCCACACGCCCGGGCGGGAGCCTGCCGCACCGAGCGACAGGGCAGCCACTCTGGCCATATGGCGTGGCCCACGACAAGGCACTCCCACCCGGGGGGGGGGGGGGGGGGCACATCCGGCCGCCGCCCCCCCCGGGGGGGCCCCCACCAAGGCCCGGGGCCCCCGGCGGGCCCCCCCCCCCAGACGGAAGAGGACATCTCGGCGCGGCCACCGGACCCCGGTGCCTGCCTCTCGGGAGGACCCGGCGTCGGTGTTGGGCCCTGGCATGGCCCCCCGCGTGGGGTCCCGCCAACTGGGCCGGCCTCGGCCCGGCAAACGTGCACCCCCGGCCTGGCCGGCTGCCGGCCCTGTCCCGGCTCCGGTCAGGCCCCACAGGAAGGGAGGGTTATCTACACAGACCGGCTGCCTGCCGAGCCGCATGCCGCTGCACTGGATCCGGCGCAGCGGCAAGGATTCCCGCCGGCGGCGCGCTCGGCCCCGAGACGCCGCCCGCACGGGACCGGCTTCCCGAGGGACAGACACACTCCGGAGGACGGCTCGCCGGCTCTCGAAGGAGGGGCCCCCCGCCCGTCCGGGTGGGGACCGTGCGTCAGTCGCCCGGACCCAGATGACGCCACCATGCCCGACACCATCCCGGAGCCGGGCCTGTCCGGACTGCCCTCCCGGTCGCCAGTCGATGTGGGCCTTGTCCCCCCCCCCCCCCCCCGGTTGCCGATCAGAGGCCCGCCTGCGCCGAGCACCCGCTCACGCCGGCCGAGGCATGTCCACTCGACAGCGGCACGGCCCCGCGCGCCTGGTCCGCGCCAATGTGATGGCCGCTGAGGCACGCGAAAAAATATAGGAAAAAGACACCCCCCCGCATGCGGCCATGCTTCGGGATGCACCGGCCCCGGTGCGCCCGCCGCACAAGCAGCAGGAGCACCTCCCACCCGGTTATGGCCACAGCCAGGCCCCGCTAGCCGGCGCTTTGACCCCGATCTCGAGGGGCTGCCTCGCGCGAGCCATTCACCCATCGACCGCCCCGGCGCCAGACCGCCATCTGCCAGCAGCCAGTGGCCGGGCGGCAAATCACACCCCTGCCGGCTGGCACGCCCC